AACAAAACCCTTTAAACTTATCTTACTTCTACATTTGTCTCATCTCCATGCTAAGTTCATAGATGTGGAAGAAAAAGAATACCATGACACACAAAAACTCCTATCATAATAGTGACAACAATGATTTTGATACTAGCTAGCATTTACTGACCTCTTCCCCATGCTCCAAAAACATGATTTTATGCATTTAATCTTCCTATTTAATCCTCACCATAACCCTAAGAGAAAAGCACTATCCCATTTCACAGGTAAGGAAGCCAGATTTCAGAGGGGTTAAATATTTGGTCATTGTGACACAGAAGGAAACTGATCAGGGCTGAAGGACTTCCCTTTAACATGGTAACAAATTAAGTCAGTGTGATGAGATTACTAAAGCAGAAAATCATACCAACAAAGGAAAAGCAATGGTGCAAAAAGAAAAGTTATCAAACGTAAATAATGTGGATCAATGACCTAAATATAAAAGCTAACATCATAAAACTCTTAGAAAAAAAAACAGAGGGGTAAATCTTGATGACCTTGAATTTAGCAGGTTGTTTTTAGATATGACACCAAAAGCATAAGTGACCAAAGGGGAAAAAATAAATAGGACATCATCAAAATTAGAAAATTTTATGCATCAAAAGACATGACTAAGAGAATAAAAAGACAATCTAAAGAATGGGAGAGAATATTTGAGAATTATATATCTGATAGAGGTTTAATAGCCAGAACAAATAAGGAATTGTAGAACTCCTACAAATCAACAACAAAAAGACAAACAACCCCACTAAAAATATAAGCAAAGGACTTAGAAAGACATTTTTTAAAGATATGCATACAAATGGATAACAAGCACATGAAAAGATGCTCATCAGTCATAAGTCATTAAAAGCAAATCAAAACCACAAGGAGATACTACATACCTACTAGTGTGTCTGTCCATAATAATATAAATTTTTAACAGAAAATTTAAAATGTTGATGGGAATATAGAGAAATTAAAATCCCAGTACTATGCTGGTAGAAATATAAAATGATGAGACTATTGTGGAAAAGTTTGGTGGTTCCTCAAAAAAGTTAAACCCAGGATTGCCATATGACCAAACAATTCCACTCCTACATTTATACCCAAAATAATTAGAACAGGGATGCAAACAGATAGTTGCATACTGGTATCATTGTATGATTTTTCTCAGCAGCCAAAAGAGTTGAAAGCAGCCTAATGTCCACTGATGGATAAATGGGTAAACAGATACACAATACTCATCCAATGGAACATTATTTATCCATAAAAATGATATAGAAAAAAATTATAAAATGATATATTTAAAATTAGTATGCTAAGTGAAGTAACTCATATGCCAAAAGATATTTATTGTATGAGTACACTTATGTGAAGTACCTAGAATAGTCAAATTCATAGAGACAGAGAGGAAAATGCAGATGACCAGGGGCTGGGGGGAAGGAGAAGAGAGCTGTTGATTAATGGATACAGAGTTTCTGTTTGAGATGATGGAAAAATTCTGGAAATGAATACTGGTGATAGTTTTTAAATGTTGTAAGTATAAGTAACACCACTGAATTGTACATTTAAAAATGACTAAGATGGTAAATTTTTATTATATATATGCTATATCCCTCTAAAAAAAAAAAAAAAGTATGATTTTTCCTTCCTTAAGCCACTTACAACTTGTATCTGCATCTGCAGACCAGAAAACTCTCATGAGTTCCAGATGTGAGTTTTCTGCTGACTCCTCAAACTGGGTGTCCAATATTGATGTCATTGCTTAACCACAGCCAAGTTCCTCTTCCACTGGGAAAATCTACTCCTTGTTCTTTTTCCTATAGGCTTTGTCTCTATAACCATCCATTAAGCTCAGATCATCTTTGATTCTTTCTTCCTCACTTCTGCAACCAATCAGCTCCCAAGTTTTTATTTTGTTTTATTTTGTTTTTCTCAAGCCTAGGTTTTAGATATTTCTTGGATTTTCTTCCTCTTTTCCATCCCTAAGGTAACAGTCTTAGTTTCAGACCTCATCCTCCCACTCCTATCTGGACCATTAGCATAACTTCCTGGTTGGTCTATCTGCCTAAATTCCTCCTGCAGTTATCCCTCCTTCCACAATCCATCTGCAGAGGAATCACTAGCATTTTCTTACATCACAAATCTGATCGTGCTCCCTTCTTCCCTTAAAATATTCCTTCCTGCCCCTTACGATAGAGTCCAAACTCCCTGGCATGCAAGGCTGACTCTCAACAACTTGACCCCTAGGAGCTTTCCGGCTCCCCACTGCCCATGACCCCAGCTACCTAACTGCTCTCTCAGCTCCATCCAAGCATTTTTGTTTTTTCATGTGCCCAGTTTGCACTAAGGACTCACCCTTGGTGTTGCACAAGAATCCTCCATGCTCTACCTATTTCTTCCTCATCCTCCTCACTCCATCCTTTCCTGCAACCATTGAACCATCTCCATAATTTTGACTTTTCTAGAATGTCATATAGTTGGAATCATGCAGTGTTTAGCCTTCTCAGGCTGCCTTTGTTGACTTAGTAATATGCATTTAAGGTTCTCCCATGTCTTTGCATGGCTTGGTATCTCATTTCTTTTTAGTGCTAAGTAATATTTCATTGTCTGGATGTACCATGGTTTTTGTCTATCCACCTACTGAGAGATATCTTAGTTACTTGGCAATTATGAATAAAGCTGCTATAAACAGCCACATGCAGGTTTTTGTGTTGGCATACATTTTCAGCTCCTTTGGGTTATGTGGATTATACAGTAAGAGGAGGTTAAGTTTTCTAAGAATCTGGAGGAGGGAAGAGGAGTGAGAAAAGATACTTGCGAATTAAAGTGACCAAATGACATTGTTACATGTGTACAAGGACAAATATCTAACAATGAATTGTGCTATTATATATAATTATAATGCACTAATTTTTAAAAATAAAGAAAAAGAAACTGTCAAACTGTCTTTCAAAGTGGCTATACCATTTTACATTCCCACCAGTGCATCTGCATTTGGTGTTGCCCATGTTCTGCATTTTGGCCATTCTAGTAACCAAATAGTAGCATCTTATGGTTTTAGTGTACATTTCCCTGATGACATATAATGTAGAGCATCTTTTCATATTCTTATTTACTATTTGTCTATCTTCTTTGGTGAGGGAGATATCTGTCATGATCTTTGGCATATTTTTTCATTGATGCATTATAATTATATATAATGGGATTTGCTGTTACATATTCATACAAGCACACAGAATAATTGGTCAGTTATATTCCCCAGTTCCTCCCCATTCCCTCCCCTCTTCCCTTCCTCTTGTCCCCTTCCTCTACTTTACAGGTTTCCCTTCTATTTTCATGAGATCACCCACACACACTTATTTTCCCCTTTATTTCTCTAGATTCCACATATGAGAGAAAACATATGACCCTTGACTTTCTGAGTCTAGTTTTCTAGTTCCATACATTTTCCTGAAAATGACATAATTTTATTCTTTATGGCTGAATAAAACACCATTTTGTATATACATTACATTTTCTTTATCCATTCATCTGTTGACAGACACCTAGACTGGTTCCATAATTTGACCATTGTGAACTGTGCTACTATAAACTTGAGTTTGCATATATCATTATAGCATGCTGACTTTAATTCTTTAGGATAAATACCAAAGAGTGGTCTAGCTGGATCATATGGTGGTTCCATTCCTAGTCTTTTGAGGAACATCCATACTGATTGCCAAAGTGGTCATATTAATTTACAATCCCACCAACAAGGTATTTTTAAATATATCTGCATCATTAAATTTTTAAATCCTAGCATATTTGAGGTATCTCCCATGATGTATTTTAGTCATAAGCCATAGTGCTCTCTAAGAAATATATAATACAATGAGGAAAACAGACCTATTACAAAATAAGTAGGCTGTGTTGTGATAGAAAAAGCACTGGACTGGGAGTCTTAACTACTATTAACTAGCTGTGTGACTTTCGGGACATAAGTTAATCTTTCCTCAATCTTGGCTTCAATTTAATCTTTGGTAAAAATTAAGTACACGGATCAGAATCCCTAGACAGTGGTTCTTTAATCTTTACATATAGATAATTTTTATGTGTATTGAGGTCCAACACAGCCCTACCTGTAACTGCATAGGAGTTGGAGTCAGAGAGATTGGAAAAAAAGAATTGAACAAAATAACTTCCAACTTGAACAAGTTCAACTAGCAGCTTTGGAGAAACCTGCTAGTACAAAGTAAGGTGCAAGGTAAGTGGGGCAGATGAACAAGTCAAGCCCATGCTTGAAGATTTTTTTGTTTGGTGTTTTTCATGTAATTCAAGAGAAGCAGTATTAACCACAAAGAAAAGAAATAACCTACTTAAAAGTACACCTAAAGAAGGGAGTTTTCACTGCTTGACTGAGCTATTGGAAGGTGAGGCCATGGAACACAGTTCTATGGTGGCCACCAACCATCACAGTACCGCCTTCCCATCTGCCACTGCTATCATCCTCCTCCTCTATAAAGAACCAGGGGATGTTGGTGATGTTCTATTTCTTGACTTTGGTGATTGTTACAGTATTGGCTTAATAATATTGATTATTTATAATTTTGTGCACTTTTCTATACATTTCAATTTTTTGAAAAATCCTTTTAATATACATGATACAATAATATCCTAAATGATGAACCCAAATTTTTTTAAATTGAGAAAGCCTGGTGAGTAATAATTTGATTCTGGCAAATAAAATGAGTTTTCTCATGGGTTAAATTTATATAGCAGACAGAAAAAAAGTCCCTTGAAAAATAAATACATCACGCTCCTCTTGCCAATAAGGACACATTACTTCCTCATTGTCGTTAATGAAGAATAGCACATACTTTCTAAAAAGAAAGAAAACATTCAAATGAGTCACCTATTGCCACATCCAGGGTTGAATAGCTATATAAATTTCTCCAGCCTCTGGCAGAAAACATCAAACCAACCGCAGGTCTGAGAACAGTCATCTCTTGCTGGCAGTTATGCAGTTGGCTCTGCTGTGGGCTGTGTGTCTGCTGTCTGGACACCTGGCCCTGCCACTGCCCCCAGAGGCGGGAGGCATGAGTGAGCTGCAGTGGGAACAGGCTCAGGTATGTCACGGTCCACTCACCTGGGTTCAGTGGTCTTGCTGTCAGCATTAGAAGTGTTTTTCAATTATTTCTCCTTCCATGTTATATTGCAATGAGTTTTCTCATAATATTTTTTTAATAAAGGGAATATATGCTTTTATCAAGTAACCATTCAAAACAGGCTTTAAAGCTTATCCAAACTGGGTTTGAGTTCCAACTCCTCCACTCACAATGTAGATGAACCTCAAAATGTCATTTAACTTCTCTGATCTTTAGTTTTCCAATTTGGAAGTTGGAGATAATAATATCAGCAAGTAGGGTATTATAAAGCATTTAACACAGTACCTGGAACATTACTGATGCTCAATAAATTGAAGATTTATTATTTTTTATTGCAACTTGAAATTATTTTCATAAAGGATATAGAATGTTGCATCTTAAGATAAGAATTACTTTTGAATTCAGAAAATAAGGGTAGAGGTTACGGCTTTGCCATAAGCTGATGATAATAGGCAAGGCAATAACTCCTGGATTTGTTTTCTCATGGGTCCAATGGAAATAATAAGACTATATGTTTTATACCGCGAAGAATTAGTCTAGTGAATAATAATTGCCAATTATAGAGCACTTCCATATACACTACATCATTTATTCCTTAGCTCTTTTCTAAAAACAAGGAGAAAGCAAAGTGAAGTTGATTCCCATTCAACTTAGAATGGTAGTAGATTCTTAGTGGTAGAGATAAGAATCAAGGACAAGTTTTTCTATAAAAATGATGTTCCTTCTAATATATTACTTAATAATCAGTCTAATAAGTATTAAAAAATATGATTTGGCAAAATAATACATGATTACTTTTAAGCATTGTTTATAAATTTAAGCCTTAAGCATAAGAAAAATCAAATTTTGCTTCACATGAACTTGGATTTTTTAAAAAGTCCAATAATATATTAGATTGAACCATATGAAATTACTGATATTTAATAGTTTTTTACCTCTCAAATAGCAGTTTTTATAGCAATTTATGTCTACCTAATGAATTCTCCCGAAGGAATTGATTTTCAAGAATATTCAGTTCCTTTATTTAACACACAGGCTGTCAAAACTAAAAGGAGTTTAGCTAAGTTTAATGCATAGCAGGAAAGGTCATCTCAATGCAGAGGTGCTTCTTCCAGGAGTGTCTTTATAAAGTCTGTGGCTCTAGAAGGGATAAAAGGCTATTTGCTCTTAAATAAGAAATTAATTCATCATTGTCATGAACAATAAGTATTTGTTGTATTGAATGACACACAATTATTGGTAACAGATATAGAGAGCACAATATTGATAAGGTTTCTTAAGCAAAATTCATACTCCTGAGAGGTTCTCAGACAAGTGACCAGTACCATCCACTCCAATATTGATAGAAAATCACTGAACCAATGTTTAAATCATTTCAACAAAAATATTATCATACATCAGCTAAGCCTACTCATGTCATCTATGTTTGTGTACACACATGCACACATGCATAAAATACTGGGGACTGAACCCAGGGATGCTCTACCACTGAACCACATCCCCAACCCTTTTTATTTTGAGACAGGATCTTGCTAAATTGCTGAGGCTGGCCTCAAACTTGTAATCCTCCTGCCTCAGCCTTCCAAGTCACTGGCAATATAGGCATGCATTATTGTTCCTGGTCGCTTATACGTTTTTCTAATGAAATGGTTTTGGAATCAGAACACAGTCTCCTTCAGAGTGACTTTATATTTATTTTATTTTTACAAGCCATGTTTCATCATATGTAAAATGCCTGCTTCACGGGATGTTTAAGGTGTAATTAAAATAAATGGCTCTAGTAAGTACTTTAAATTATTCTTGTGAGTTTGCTGCTGCTTTTAGTGCATTCCTTTTTTTTTTTTTTCCTGTTAGATTCCCATCTTCATTTGCAAACACTAGAAAACTTTAAGAAATTCCCAGGGACCCAGTTTACATGGGATAGATCTGGGAGATCTGCTATATCTAACAGCCTCTCAAAGAGGTTGTAGTAGGGATTTAAAAGAGGGAAAGAGAGACTAGAGGGTGGAAAAAGTGGAGAGAGGGAAAAGAGGTACTGGGAAGCAGGAAATTCAGGCTCAATTCTGCTACTAACATAACATGTGAAACCAGGAAAATCATTTGGATGTTATGAGCTTTGGTTTCTTCATCTGGACAATTAATTCAATTAACTAAACTAATAATCACCTAAATATTTCCCCAGACTAAATTGTTAAGACCCTTTAACCTTTAGCTGGTACCAGACCTCAGCAGGATCTTAGATGGGCCAGGGATCTTCAGATCTCCCCACAGGGTCCATGGTGCTAAAGGAGGTTTTGGTGTGCCTCTTGAGATCACGCTAGGATATTCTTCCTGAAAGTTCCAAAAACAAGTCTATGCTACATAAAGTGTTCAGTATGTTTTCCTCAAAACATTTAAGGTGGAAAAAAAGAGAAACTGGGAGATTTTTCTCCTGGATGGCACACTTGTGCTTCATTATCAATATTAAATTTCCTCTTTATTAGCGCATATTTATTGTACTCAGTGACTATATAATTGTTCTATCTTGAAATCACTATATAAATCCACAAAAACAGAGGCAGGGCTGGGGTTGTGGCTCAGTGGTAGAGCACTTGCCTTGCACATGTGAGGTACTAAGTTCGATCCTCAGCACCACATAAAAATAAATAAATAAAGGTATTGGGTTTATCTGTAACTAAAATAATTTTTAAAAAGAGTCAAAAGAAGTGCAAATTTCTAAAATAAAAAAAAAGACAATAACAAGAACTACAAATTATTTACTGTCTTTTCAATAGCACTATCTCAAGAGATTTTATCTTCATGACTCAAAAGAAAAGGATGCCAACAGTTTAGAATTCAAACTCAAGGAGATGCAAAAGTTCTTTGGCCTGCCTGTAACTGGAAGGTTGAACGCCCACATCATAGAAATAATGCAGAAGCCCAGATGTGGAGTGCCAGATGTTGCAGAATACTCACTATTCCCAAAGAGGCAAAAATGGACTTCCAGAATAGTCACCTACAGGTCAGTTTTGTTTTGGCTCATTTTGACAAAAACAATTGATAAAGCCTTTGTCCTAACAGGTCAAATTTTTTTTTTATTGTTTGCTACTAGGATCCTATCGTACACTTCAGACTTAAAACCTGCCGTAGTGGATCAAATAGTGGCAAAGGCTTTAAGCATGTGGAGCAGGCACATCCCACTTCGTTTCAAGAGAGTTAGAATGGGAACTGCTGATATCATGATTGGCTTTGCAAGAGGAGGTAAGAATGAGTCCTGTAGGCTAATCCCATGTGCTATTTTATTTATTTGTTGTTTACATAAGTGCTCTCTGTTTTTAAAAATGTAAACCCTTTGATAAGGAGTGGGGATGTAGCTCAGTGGTAAAGCATGTATTTAGCATGTGCAAGGTCCTGAGTTCAATCTCCAGCATCACAATAAAAGAAGAAAAAAAAAACCTTTAATTAGATATTATTGCAATTTTTATAGTTTGTTAAATTAAAGTCACTTTTTATGCAGGAATTGGAAAACTATTACTCATGAGCCCAATCCAGCCCAACATGTTTTTTTTTTTTTTTTAACTAAGTTTTATGGAACACAGCCATGCTCCTTCACTTAACTATTGTCTTAAAATCACTTTCAGACAGGCTACAATTGTGACAGCATCCATAAAGTGCACAGCACTTAAATTACCTGTTATCTGGCCCTTCTTAGAAAACATTTTCCAACCCCTCTTTTATAGTATGAATCTTTACATATATAATCTTTTTGTAGCATGAATTATTAAAGGACTTGTAGAGATATAATGCATTTACATGAACTACTCTTAATTAATAGGATTTCATGGTGCAAATTTAGAAAAATATTTTCCATTTTGGTCTTCTCTAATATTGAACTGCCAGGGTACTATGAATTTAGCTGTACGTTGAACTTGAGCCCACAATATTAACAATATTGAAGAAAATGTTAGGGAAAGCAGTGATAACAGCACTACAAGTTTATCAAGAACTGGATGAGCCGGGTACAACCTGACACTCATCTAAAGATAAATAACTCTGACTCACAAATAAAAGGACTTTCAAAATCTTTTTTAACAGACTTTGAGTATAGTTCTCCAATGCTATCTAGTATGCTCACAAAAAAAATAGCTTTTTAAGAAAAATATACATGAAATGATACACAAATTACCCACCAAATGCAAAGCTCACATTCATGCTCCCTCCCATCTCCATTTGGCCAAGCAAAGTGATAAAATTTAACAAACACTTAAATGCAATCATAAGTTAGATATAAATATGTTTAAAATACTATATCCTGTAAACCTTTACTATGTGGTGGCTATTGGTGATGAGCAGTGGTTCTGTGAAAGAAAAGTGCCTTTACTGAATAAGCAACTAAATGCATCTGGTTTCTGCTACCAGCAGCAGTGTGGACCATTTGGAATGGGCTGTTCTTTCCAGTCTCAATAATCGTGTAAACTAAAAAGATGAAATGACTAGGAAAAAATCCAGTCACTAAGAGAAGTCACTCAATTTTCTTGCAGCTCATGGGGACTTCCTCCCCTTTGATGGACCAGGAAACACTCTGGCTCATGCCTTTGCACCTGGGCCAGGCCTAGGAGGAGATGCTCACTTTGATGAGGATGAACTCTGGACTGATGGCAGCGGTCTAGGTACAGAGTCCCATGTCCCTTGTACTGTACCTCCTTCAACTTCCAGACTTACTCTAACGTTCATCTGATACTTGCTTTAATTTATGATATCTATCAAGAACTTAAATGACAACCACTGTCCTATATGTTTTAGATGTTTTATCTCATTCAATATATTCATAATATTATAAGTACTAAAGATGGAAACTCTGGCTATGGAGTCAAGCAGTGTCAGGATCAATTTGTTTTACCTCTATCTTTCTTGCTGGGTGTCTTTAAGTTATTTAATGTCTCTGAGCCTCAGTTTTCTCTTCTATGAAATAGGACTAGTAATAGTGTCCACCAGAGGATTACTTAAATTAAATAAAAAAATGATTGTACAATGCTTAGCACAGTGCTTGGAATATATTAAAAATTCAATGAATTTTAGCTCTTCATATTTCTCAAAAGTAAGTGTCTTGAATAAAAAAGAGAAACAAAGACTACAATATTTTAAAATTATATGCAATTCTGGGATTATTCACTATTGTATGAAAAGAAGAAGCTCCATGACTTAACCCATCATATTCATCATTTTACAATGTGAAAGATTATGGACACATCTGAGAACTAATGGAGTGGAGCTCTAACGTAAATAATCCTCAGAGAAAACAATCCTTTAAAAGAAACGGCTAGTAACTGGCACTGGAAGTGAAATTAATACTTGTATTTGCCTATGGGAATTTACCACAGTTTGAACAAAGCAGTGAAAATCTAACTTCTGTAACATGGTGAGGCTGCCTTTCTGCCACATCTTGCACATCTTCATTCTTCTTTCTTCCCACTCATGGTAAGTTAAAGACAGCTTCCTTCAATCTAATGCAACACAGATCAAGCTCTGGAAACTCCTCAAATTCACAGTTTCACTCTTTCCCCCAACTTGCAAAGCATTCTATGTATTTGAGAGAGATTCAATTATGATCTCATATGATTTATATATCATCTATATCATATATCATTCATACACACACACACACACACACACACACACGCACGCACACAAAATTTTATGAATCAAGATCAGAAACAAAACCCAGCATTGCCTGGAAATACTTCCTTTGTCTTGACTTTCTCTATCCTAACATTCAAAGTTGTAATAATTTGTTGAACAGCCATTATTTTTCACATATTGGGAAAGTCTAATTATCTTGGCAAATCTATAGAGTAAGAATTATTATCTATGTTTAATAGATAAAGAAGTGAGGCTGAGCAGAACCAACTAATTTGTCCAGAGCTGTCCAGTCAGTTAAGTAGCAGAACTATGTCAGAAATGTAGGTCTTAATGCTTTTAAAGTCTTTGCTTTCCACTATAGAATATCACTGCCAGGTGATTATATAAGAAGCAAATAGGCAGAAAAACATCACTTTTCTTTAATAAGCAGAAATGGTAGTATTAAAGCACTACTAAGCAAAATCTCCTTCTCACCCCTTCCCAGTCTTCAAGGTGTAGAAGCGAATAAGTAAGCTATGGAAGATTGAGAGTTGGATATTTTTATAGTTATTTTATTTTTATTATTATATATTAGGTATTTTCATACTTATTTTAATAGTTACTCTATGTTACCTCTTTGGTTGTAGGAATTAACTTCCTGTATGCTGCGACTCATGAACTTGGCCATTCTTTGGGCTTGGGTCATTCCTCTGATCCTAGAGCTGTGATGTATCCAACCTATAGAACTGAAGATTCCCAAAGTTTCAGACTTGCACAGGATGATATTGAAGGCATTCAGAAGTTATATGGTAATATTTATGGTTTCAAATAAGGGGGATTTCATATTTTCCCCTTAGAATAGGCTTGGAAGAAAGAGGCTGAGAAATGGGCATTTACCTGGAAAACCACACTGTAACTTATATCTAAAAATCTACTGAAAAGAAAAACTGGACCTTATATACTCAGAATTTGACCAGACTTTTTTATACTAGCCATTTCTTTTATCACTTTATAGTGATCCTCATTTTAGTTTTAAGCTTCAGTAATACAGTATCATATGGTGAAATTATGACAATGACACTACCAAGGTTCTTTTCAAGCTGTCACCCACTCTTCTTCCTGGCTCAGTTCAAACTCTTTAGGAGTGTCTCCCCTGGAGTGGACTGGAGGAACATGATACCATGCTCCACAGCTGCCCAGTGCCAAGGATTTGGCACTAGGTGATCAACAGTGACCCATTTTTCCTGCTTACATACACATGTAGGGAAAGTAATTAACGATGGACAGCCACTGCTAATAATTAGTCAAGAAGATTATGAATATCTCATGTCCCAATATATACTTTTTTATTCAAATTAAGCTCCAAATTCAGATTTGAAATATGCCGATTTGTATTTACTTGATGAAGTCAGTTAGAAATAGTATTCAGGAAAGGATTCAAAGGACAAGGATAAAAATTCATGCTTCTGGATAAAAATGAGGGGGGGAAAGAGTCCAAAGATTCTAAGTGACTTGTTCAAAATTATGTGGCTGTCAAGTGCTTGAACAATGATTCCACATCAGGGCTGTATGATTGCATACCCTACCATACATGCCTACCTATCACTACCTAGAAAGCTTTCAAAAAAGCAAGCCGAACAAGAAAATACAGAATTTCACCTTTAAGTCAGCAGACATAGTCAAACTTATCCAGCAAAATATCAGGATAAATATATGTATTTTTATGGATGTGTGTTTGTATATATGTATACATATATAGATGTATGTACTGGGATAAGAATACACTATCAAAAGATCACTTAAGAGTTTTTGAGTGATCCAAAGAATAACAAAAATGTTTTCACATAAGACAGTACTGTCTTTCAAGGAAAATTATTACTGCAGAAAAATGAATTTAAGCTATCAGCCGAACCTAGAATTTACTATGTATCAGCATTGCTTAAATTGCACTTCTAGAATGCTAGTGCCTCAAGACAATCCCCACAGAAGCATGCTGTGGAAAAATAACACACTACCTATAAAAATTCAGATGCATACTAAATAGTACTAAAGGAACAGTGTTTAACTCAGTGTTTACTAAATTATAATCATTTTTATGGAATACCCATTGAAATCCTACGAAATAATACTTTAGAGAACACACTTTGCAACTAGACCCTAAAGATCAGATCAGAATCAAACAGCTGCTTCTGTCCAGAGGACTGACAAAATACTGACAGAAAATACTACCCCCTTGTATAAAATAGCAGAACTCTGAGAATACAGCATTCTATAACTGTTAGGACCTTAAGAAAAATACAAAGAGATTAAAGAAGCTATGAGGCAGACTGATTAAATTTAACAGGAAGAAAACTGGTGCATTTGATTCTTTTTAGTTTTACAGTTTTTATTTGTTCTTTTTATATATACATGACCATAAAGTGTATTTTGACATATCATATACATATGTGGAGTATAACCTATTTTAATTAGGATCCCATTCTTGTAGTTGTTCATGTTTTGGAGTTTCACTGATGATGTATTCACATATGAACATAGGAAAGTTATGTTCGATTTGGTGCATTTGGCACACACCCTTATCCAAGTAGGAAAGAAGAAACTTCTGAACAACAGAAAGTAGGATTTAATTATGTAAGCTGTAAATTTAGGATTTCATTCATCCAAAATATAATGGTGTACTTGCTTAGCATGTGCAAAGCCTGAGGTTGATCCCCAACACCACAAAAAAAAAAAGAAAAAAATAAGTTAACATGAGCAGAAAATATAGATTCAAAAGAATGTGATCCGAGTTGTGAATGAATGCAAAACTCTCAATGCTATTTTCAGAATAACAAAAATAATAGCTAAAATGCATTGATTACTTCCAGTATCCAAGCACTTCACATGAATTAGCTTACTGAATCCATGAGGTACTATCCCATTTTATAGACTGCTAATCTAATGCTAAGGAGGTTAAGTAGTCATTTCCTCAAGGTCACACAGCTAGTAAAATGGTAGAGATGAGGTGCACAGGCATCTGATCCCCAGGGCCCACACTCAGTGCAATATTGCTTCCTTAGCCTTTGAAGGTTGTACTTCAAAAATCTTTGTTCCAGACACAGAAAACCAGGACCAGGTAAATGATAAGTTATACATACCATGACATTTCCTTTGTACAGTTTTAGGATGGTTTTTATGCACTTGTATACTGTGTCAGAATGCTTTTTTTTTTTTTTTCTTAACAGGAAGAAGTTATTTCAGAAGGAGATAGAAGCTTCAGAGGGAATATTCATTCATTCACTGGGTTCTGTATCAGTATTCCCCAACCACAATTAACACTCTCCCTGCACTTCACTCAGCACATGCTCCATCCTTTCTTGCACTGTGGTTGGTTTTTTTTATGTCTCTCTGTCCCCCAGGTTAAACTTTATGTTTTGCCTTCATCTTACTCACCTATGATGATCTTCAGACAACATGAAATCGGCAGATGTCAGTAAATGTTGTATACACAAATAAATAAAATTCTTATTCTATGATAAAAATACTGATACTTGGGAGTAATTTTTCTGTGGCAAGGGAAGGCATATAATGAAATCAAAGAATAAAACAAAAAAATCTCACCACATTATGTTGAAGTCTTCAGACATATCTCACCCTATCACTAGATGGAAGTATGAGCTCGACTTTTTGTTGTCCTTTAATGTAGCCCCAAGTTACTTCCCTTGTTCTTTCAGCACAGGCTCTCACTGAGGCTCCTGCCAAATGCAGTTCTTCCTGCAAAATGTCTGTAAATTCCTGAGGACTTGGATTCTCAGAGTCATTGCCAGCTCTAAATTCCTGCCAGGGCATCTCTCCTGCCACAGATACTCTCTGAATTCCCTTTTCTCTGCCCTGTACCAAATAAAACATCAGTCTCATCCTCCTCTCTTTTTTCCCCAACAGTCCTAAAAGAGAAACTGTACATGTTGTTGAAGATTCATGTGAACAATAAGATTTTGCATTGCACTAGGCAATGAAATTAAACAGAATCAATTTGGGATATTACCCCCATCCTTCAAATCTTTATCTACCCTGTATCAGCCCATTTCTCACTGGCTACCTACCTCTGCAGGTTGCAGCCTTCCACCACATCACTCCTTAGGCCTCTGATCTTTAGACCCCTCTCTTTCCTATTGCTCCAGTAATTCATTTTCCTGTTGTTCTGCCCTGACCCTCCCCTTTCAAGCACTGAGATTCCCTAATGTGTCTCTCTGGGTAAAGCATCTCTATGTGGGGCTTGACCTAGAGCAGGACACACAGCTGGCAAAGGTTTTTATCATTTTAGTCTTTCCTTTCTTCCTCCTTCTCCACTCTCCTCACACATATATATGCATGATTCTCCTTATAAACAGAAATTTGAAATTTACATTTATACTAATATAAATCACACCCCCCCTACACATCTTGAACAGATGCATTCATTTTTAAAAATTTCACTCAAGGACTTTTTTTCACCCCAAACAAATCAATATTCCAAAAATCAAAATCACCCTAGCCATTAGGAAACAACTCCATGATAGATCAAATGCAAGAAGAATCCATTAATCCAGGCAAATATGAACTGTATATGAACAAGAGTTCAAAGGCCTTTAAAGCATAATGGAATATAACTAACAATATTAGAATGAAGAGGAAGTTACAAGTCACTGAATTCAAATTACTCATTTTATAGACAACAAAACAGATTATCTATTTACAGTAAGCAAATGTAGTCATGATTTAAGAAAATTTTTGCTTGTTTAACTGTCGTATTTTGCTTTGAGCAGCAGGAGGTTGTGTCTATCTTGCAGCTGAAGTGGCTGCCTATTATCTGTACATGTCCAACATTTCTTCACCCAACTTCAGGGACAGGAAGCTGCCTCTCCCCGCCTTTTTAAAAAATTTATTTATTTTAATCAGTATATATAACAGCAGAATGAATTTTGATTCATTGTACACAATTGAAGTAAAACTTTTCATTTCTCTGGTTGTACACGATGCATCACACTATATGTGTAGTCGTACATGTACCTACAGTAATGATGTCCATCTCATTCTGCCAACTTTCCTGCCCCCATGCGTCCTCCCCTTCCCATTTTCCCCTTTGCCCAATCAAAGTTCCTCCATTTTTCCCATGCTCCCCACCATGCCTCTCCCCTTTGTGCACACTCTTCATAAGCTATCACTTAGGATGCTACATCCATCTGGGTTGAGAGACGGATACAGGTCCAAAGCTTGGCCTATCAGATGTTCTCTCTCCAGAACACAGAAGACTGATAAGCCCTGGCTGTAGGGCTCTGGAGACACTGCCTATTCAATGCTGCCTGGGTTCTGTCCTCCTCCGAGCTCAGGAGCAGGGCTTCTCTTCCAGATTTCAAAACTGACTGCATTGCCTCCCAACAAACTTTGTCTACTACTTAAATTATCCAGCCTCAATACACATCTTTGGTTTAAAAGTCCTTGGCCTGGAAACTTGACTGGCTCTCCTATCATATTTCACATATGAACTCTGTTGCATATTTTACCACTTTCTTCAGTCTTAACAATGAAGTTAAACTCTGAGCAAAGAAGTAACATTTTATTATTTCAATCAAAATAGCATAATGCTGACTTGGAAATAGAAATCTTTCCTAGCAAATAAGGATCCACCTTTTTTTTTTTCTTTTTTTAATTGTGGTAAAAAAAAATACACATGACATAAAATTTATCTTCTTAACCATTTTTAAGTGTACAGTTTATTGTTATTAAGTATATTCACATTTTTGTAGAAGATAAAAAATTCTTAACCTCAGCATGACTGGCATTTTTTACTAGATAGTTCTTTGTTGGGGTGAG